GTCTCCAATGTGTCCTTGGGCAAGACACTTAACCCCAAATTGCTCCTGCTGCTTCAGTGGCAGTGTATGAATGGCATTAGTTACTTCTGATGGATGATACTACATAGCAATCATCAATACATTAGTAGCATAGTGCAGTAAACCATCCTAGTGTCTAAACATTTCCAAATGTTTGTGTGTTCCCATGTGTGTTGGACCATTTTAGTACCCCTCTTCTTCCTCTCAGCATGTTTAGGTATGCATAATAGCCAACCAGAGGGTTATTTTCAGGTCAGCTGCCATCACAGGCCAATCAAAGAGACACGGCACTGCCAAGAGGAGTTACACAACGAGTCGGGTTTTGGTGGGAAAGAAAGCCAGACGTACTACTCCTGTTCTGTGATCCAACACATCTGAAACTGTGCTGCAAGTCTGAGATTTCACATTGCCTTATAAACCAGAAGCGTATTTAAAAGACAAAATAGGCCAGTTATTCTGTTTTGTATGCAAAGCAGAATGCAAAATGCTACCAAACCAGAGAATGAAGAGCAAGGCCAAAAAGAGTGTGTATGTGTGTGTTACAGTGTCTGTTTGTGTAATGAGAGAAAATCCACAGGGCGATGCTGGAGTAGGAAGGAATGATTTAAATGTTTTATTATAAAAACACTTGACTGTTCGTGGAGCTGCAACATTAGACAAGATAGAATCTCAAAACTGGAGTCCACTGCCTTGTTTTGCCTGAAACTCACACAATCTACCCTGTGTGTGTGCTGTGATACATTCGGCTGCACATCTGACACCTGTCGTGGAAAAATACTATCTGTCTGTTGCCTTCGTTTGACCTTAAAAGATTAGGATGATTGTGCGTCATTTAGCAATTAGAAACTGTTTCTCTGTATGGCCTTGGTCTGTATCTCCAACAGGTACGCTCCTCAGGATCTGGGTACAGCATGACCTTAGATCAGTGTGCCCTCCTGACAAAGGAGTTTCTGTTGATGTTCCTCCGTTCCAGGTGCCTTATAGAAGCTTACATAGATAAATCACCAGGCAAACAAGCAGAAGGCGTAGTCACTAGGGCAAGCTGAAACCAATGACGATGTATCACTCATGTATATGCAAAATACCTACACCCTGTGAAAGTATAAATATGCTCTGCAACCTGGACTGCCCCGGGAATCTTTGATGCACTTGTGACTGATGTTACTTTTGTAGCTGATTACCCCTTTTGCAAAATAACTTTTTACTATATGCAATAAAATACACAAAGACAAAAGACTTTGACTTGAGATCTTTCATTACCAACAGAAAAATCCACAACACACCAAAACAGCTCAGATAGGATACACTGATTGAAAAAGAATGTGAAGCAAGGATGTCAAGTGGTTTGACCAATGGCCTTATGCATCCCTACTTTTGCGGCCATTGGTTTCAGTCATTAAGAAATGAACAGTAAACCTCAAAGAATGCCATGACAGGACATTTGATGCTACTTTATTTTGACAGAATGACGATCAAATGGTGACATGGAGAAGAGAAGAATCTATGACGGTTTAACAGGGACATACAAAAAACTGACAAGACCTATCATTTAAATACAAAGAAAGTTGTTGTTGAATGGATGTCTATTCTTCTAAAGCAACATGTAATGTTTAGTGATACAACTTCACAATAAAGTAAAACTACAATAAATGTTCTGGTCTAGAAAATACCATGAGTGGGAAAGAAACTTGGGACATATCTTTATCTGCTCTGATTGTCCTCAATGATCATTTCTCAAAGATAATTTGTTACAATATTTGTGGCATTTGTTATATTGCCCCCCAAAACACATATGAAGCCCTGTCTTGTTTTCAGTTCAGTCTTATCAAAGTTACTCATTCTTCAAATGATGATTATGTTAATTAGGCTCTGCTGTTATCAGGGTAAAGGAAACAAAAGAGCAACTCTAAAGTCCAATAATCAACATTTGAATCTAGACAACTCAGTTCCCTACATACCATGAACAGGACCCAATTATAGAGCCATAAATTATGTGCAAGTGAAACACACTGTTATCTCTAGACTGACTGAATAAAGGCAGTAATGTCTGGAAAATCAGATTTCCTCTGGGATCCCAACATCTCTGAGATGTTTTCTTTCTTTTACCATCAAGCAGGCAGAGTATTCCAATAGAGCACATTGCCCCTTTGTTCATCACCACCACATCCATATATCTGAGCAAATTGGCAACAATGGGAAAGTTATTGCTTTTGAACTTACCTTACTGCAAATGAATTATATCAGTATGCAAATGATTTAATTAAGTCAACTTCTACTATCTTTAATAGGACATCAAAGACTTGCAAATAATGGTTTGTGAAGCTAAACATGCAACTGTCTGTTCTCTACCTTAAAGATATTGAACAATATTAGATAACGGAGGCTATGAGAGTTCCAACAGGATAGAAGCCGTTTCCCCCAATGCACTTGGGAAGAAGATACAACAGATGTTCATAGGAATCTGTGGGTGACAAAATAACTCCCAATAACACTCCCAATGAAGATTTTTGAAGTCAGCCTCTCTTTATTCAAGCAGTGTTGCAACAGAGTTGTCGGAGAGGAGCTCCCAGAATCCAGAGACGTCTCAGTATTTAAACACAATACAGATAACACTTAACATACGTTAAGATAGAAGTAATCTCTTCTCTGAGAGGCCAAGTTGTTCCATCTTCCCACCATCCCCAAGGAGAGCTGCTAACTCCCTATGATCTCAAAGACCTCTAAAAGAACAATACAATAAATCATTGTATTGCATCATCAGCATAGCACTCAGTTACACTCTCAGTATTTTTCCATCAGAATCTTCTTCCCTCAGGCCATAAGATCCTAAACAAGGGCACTAAACAAGGGCACTTTGATCTTAGACCTGATCATGATGCTCCTCAACCTCTGGATGTCTTAAAAAGCAACTTTTTGCTAACAGTTTGAAGTACAAGTAGCATATTCAGTGTTCTTATTATGGCTGCCTTGTTGTGTAAAAATCATGTTACCGCAGGTTTGAATGTAATTAAAGAGGTGGTCACAAAACGAAAATGAAAAAGAAAGTGTACAAAAAGATTGCATCCAAAATACATCAAATTTGCACAAAAATAATAAAACAAATAAAAAACTGCTAATTGTACATAAAAATATCACCACATTGCCACAATCTCTTAATCCAAACTGACCCTACTCTGTGTCAGACCCGGCTCGTGTACTTACGCAACAACATGTTGAAGGGAATGTTGGAGAGAATGTTTTCTGCTAACCTTATCTGAAAAAAACATTTCCCACTGGGCGGGCAGGAAGCACAGCAGGCTGTAATCAGGCCAATTATGTCCGACCTCCCCGTCTGTGTGACCTGACAGGACCTTGAAAAAAACAGTAATGGGGGTCCTAACTATTGTTGCTCTTGCAACCTGTCCACCCAGCTCCACTGATGTCACAGGGTTCATTTGGGTGAGGGGGAAAGAGAGGTAATCTCAAATATGGAGCGGATAGTGGGCACAAGTGAGGCTACACAACTTGAATTTTCTATCAAGTTTGTCCAGTTTAAAACTCAGGAGTACGTTTAGAGAAGTCCACATCAGCAACATATTGTGGGCATACCCTCTAATACTAATACTCCTCCTGGGTGCTTCATTCCATTCTTTAAACTTGGTCAACACATTAAAGGAAGAATATGAGACTTTTTGATCCAGTAGTAGGCTGTCCCACTGTCAAATCATCAAGTGTGTGAGGGATCTCTCGCTGACATTTGGAGCTCTTTATGCACCCTGTCCTTAAGTGAGCATATCTGCAGACTCAGCATGAGGGAATTACCCATAGTGCATAGCATTGTGATGTGAAACACATGATTCCCAGGGGAAGTCCACAAGAATGGAAAGGTAAACCAACGTCATAAAACAAAGAAAAAAAAGGGAGAGACTGTAAAAAAACATGAAGGTGAAACCACGTTATTTACAGTCTACCAAAAAAGTACATTTGGAAAGTACAGCTAATTTAGAACTCTACTGCGAGTCTATAAACATAAACAAGAGCGACAGAGAGCATATTAATCCTGTTCTATATATATAAAATTAAAAAGGAAATTTACATAAAGGCCTATATTAAGTAGAACTTTTTATAAGCACCTTGGCTGTGAGTGAGAAAAGTAACATGGCATCATGCTGTCATGGTTAAAGAGAAGTTGCAAGGTGCTGTCCCATTCGTATTCAACCATTGGAGCGCCTTTCAGCCTCTTGCACTCAATCACTTACAAGGTGACGTCAATTAAGTCCATAACTGCTCAGGGCTCAGGGTTTAGGGAGGACCCCCCTGTTGAGCTGTTTGTTAATAGCTCCAGAGTTGATTTCTCTCCTGTTTGCTTGATGTTTAGTTGGAATTTTCATTGAACAATTTTTACATGTGGACTTCTAACAGAGTAAGCCTTGGTTTGCCTCTTTTGATCTTTTGTTTAATTAATATATCTTGTTAGATCTGCAATTGGGTCCACTTCTGTAGTTTATTTAAGCAAATAGACAGAAACAGTCAAAGTTACATTCAGTTCTACATACAAGGTTCTGCTAACAGTTCTATGTGAAAGCTGAGATTTTCATGATGCTTCGTGAGGCCTGTTTCATCTTGCAAAAAAAATGATTTGAGCATGCGCTGTGCTCAGTAACAGAAAGGAACTGAGCATATAATGTTGCCAGTGGCTTATCTTCCACTTTGAGTGTATTTTCCTTCAAAAATTTTTTTTTTCAGACGTGAATTTTTATCAATTGACATTTTATCTGTTTTTATGTGCAACAAATCAGATAAGTATAATACCCCAAACACACAACTAGACCCAGCATAACCTCTGCAAAATAGGGGCCATGATTTCAGATAATAAGTCTAGCTGAAGTGTTTAGTACAATAGAAAATCTTGTAATTTTATCAGTATGTTTAAATTGCGTGAGTAAAACAGTCGCTTATGGACTTGATAAACGTACTTAACTGTGTACTAAGAGAGAGATGGAGAGGGTGGAGCTGGGACTTTCGAGTCATAACATAAAGGGGGTGGTAACGAATGGATTGAGGGGTGATCGTTTGTTCTCTCCCAGAGCTCAGTCCTCTCCTGTCTTTCCACAAGCCTGTGCGTAATGGTAGAACAGAGAATGAACTCTCTTGTGAAATGGGCGCTTATCCTCTTCGTCCTGGTCTCCATCATTCTCAACATAGTTCTGATCGGGATCCACTCCAGCAGGGCGCCCAAATGTTCCGCTCAGCGTGTCCATCCGCTGCGGGTCAAGCACGACGAGCGTAGCGTCGTGTTCGCTGACCTCACTCGGGATGAGTACCTGCAGGTCCAACAGTACATGCTCAAGCAAAAAGAATTGGATATATCCACCAGCCAGGTCACTAAACCAGAGGAAAACTTCTTGTTTTTAATAGACTTATCTTTGCCAAAGAAAGGGGACGCGCTGGCTTTCTTGGACGGTAAAGCTGCCAAGCCGGCCAGAGAGGCGACGGTGGTGGTCTTTCATGGTGCGCAAGGCTACATTGAGGAGTATGTAGTGGGACCTCTTCCAAACCCAACATACATAAATGATGTCACCAAAGAGAGGTACAAGATGGAGCTGCCTATCACTGCACGCACCGTCACAATTGGAGAATACGCATTGCTTTTCAACTTTTTTGAGCAACATGTTTTCTCCAAACTTAAGAAGCTCATGAAAGAAAGCTTTGACGTAGCGGCAGACAAACAGTTGAATGCGTTTGAGCAGATGCCTCGTGGAGTCCGATCCGGGGACAGAAAGACCTGGGTTTCTTTCTTCAGAGATATGAGCGGCATGTACATCCACCCGGCTGGCTTCGAGGTACAGGTCAACCACGAGAGCGTAAACGCTTCCAACTGGAAAGTGGAGCGGCTGCTTTATAACGGCCAATACTTTGACACTGTAGAAGAACTAAAGCAGAAATATGAAGATGGGTTTGTAAAGAAAATCGTTTACAAGGAGTCAGCTGACTATGGGTCACTGAAACCAAAGCACAAGCATCAGCAGCTCAGTCCGCAGCTGTTTACCGTGGATGGTAAACGCTACAGCATCAGCAACAACCACGTTGTGTATCTAGACTGGAGCTTTGCCTTTGGGCTGAGCTCACTTACAGGTGCGAGGGTTTTTGATGTGCGCTTCAGGGGTGAGAGGATCGTCTACGAACTGAGCGTGCAAGAGGCCATGTCTGTGTACGGTTCAGTGACTCCTGGGATGATGATGACGAAGTTTTTAGACTCCAACTTCGGGATTGGGCGCTTTGCCCATGAACTAACCCGTGGTGTGGACTGCCCTTACGACGCCACCTACATCGACACGTACCGCTACATCGATGTCCCAGCCCCGGTCAGATACCATAATTCAATATGCGTCTTTGAACACAATATGGGCCAGCCCTTACGGAGGCACTTCGCTGACTTTTTCTGATATTCTATGCAGGACAGAGAGCGATGTGTGTCTAGGTAGTAGGAGTCTTTAAATTGTATTCACACACCAACAGAACACTCCAAACAATTAGCCAAAACCGGGAAGTGATTATCAGTTAAAGATCCATTAATTGAAGAGAATAAATAGTGGCAAAAAGGTTCAAAAATAAATAATATATAAAGGCAGCACATGTCAAGTTCCAAGTTAAGGAGGACAAAACACTAACAGTTCACTATAAAGGAGGGAAAATTGTGTTTTGTCCTCCGTAACTTGGAACTTGAAACACACAGAGCCAAGAGAAACTGGAGGTGGTGATTAGGGGCACCATTCGGGGGACAGACAGTAGCACTATTAAAGCCAATGACAGACCCCTAAAATATTAGAAAATTGGTTATTTTTTTTAGAATATTAAATTATTTTTTATTTTTCATTAAGGGTCAGAAAACCCTAGCAGCGCCCTTGTTGCTGATTAACATTAGGTACAGTGACTGTTGGAGAGACAATAGTGTTAAGCCTGGCTTCATAGTTTAAAAATGAAATAAATGTAAACAGTAGATACAAATGCCCAGTCCACAAGAGTTTTATGAAACTACAACAAAAAACATGTTTTAACAAAAACATTTTGTATATATTTTTTCTCAGGTCTTAAGAATGTTTTCCAGACCAAAGATATGGAATATGTCAACATGTCTCTTCCATGGATGCCTGATCACTACGCTATGGTCCCTCAGCTTGTGGAGAAACAAGTGAAAACAGAAAAGGTCAGCTTTTGTTCTTTGTTTCAAATATTTAATGTTTTACTTTCAAAAGGTAATACACTTGTTTAAGTACAGTTTAAGGTTTGAAGTGGTTGCACATAGTGACAGCCTTTTCAGTTGTGTTTTTTGTGTAAAGGTCAGGAAACTATCTCACGAGAACCCTTTTCACACATACGGAAATCTCCTGAAAAATGCTGGAGATTTGGCTACCCTGAGGTTCTTTAGGCTATGTGTGAACGCAAACAGCCACATTTTTCACGCAGACTTTACCTGGAGTTTCTCTGACCAGACCCCTAGTATTTTATCCGCAGAAAGTCAGAGTGAGCTGATGTCTGAACGCGGCAGCATATACTCCGGAGATTTCAACTCCGCCAATAGAAAGAGAATGACGCTTATATGTGAATGCCTAAAGTGTCTGCACGCGACCACTACGATCTCTGTGCGCGTAATTAAACGGCTGCATTATGTTTCCTGTTCGTCAGTATGTTGTTCTCCTCTCTGTAGTGGATGTTGTCATTCCATTAGACTACACATAGCATTGATATAAAGACAAATATTCTCATTATAACGTCGGGTAGCGGACTCTGTTGCTTCGACCGCTACTTCCGGAGTTGTTTATTTCCATCACGTCTTACCTCAGGAAACCCCCGACCCCCCTCCCCTCTGACAGGGAAAGTCCCCCGCTGTGAGGAGCATATGTGAACGGCTAGGTCGGGAGAATCTCCAGAGAAGTCCTCCTTTAATCTAGATATTATCCGGAGTGCATATGTGAAAACGGCTTAACTTATTTCTAACAGCAGGAGGAAACATTGTTCTAGCTATCTTGAACCCACAAACATCCAGACATGAAAAACACTCTAGTTCCTGAGCGTTCATGTGAGGCTGGCTCCAAAAGCCCTAGAAGTTACATACACACCCCACGTTTAAATGCCCATTTAAGAGCAATAATAATGTTATTGCCTTGTAAAAAAAAAAAAAAAAAAAAACTATTTTGGTCTGAATAGATAACCTCTTTATATATGCATACTATGGGGTTTGGAATTGATATGACTGCAAGCAGGGGCATTGTCAATCAATCTTGATTTGTACAGGGCCAATTCATAACAATTTTTTTCTCAAGGCAGTATCTCAAGAGCAGGTAAATTACTTTACTCATTGTTATATTACCTAAAAGGACCCAATATTAATCCACCATGAGCACAGCACTAAGCAACATTTAATAACATTACAGTGGCAAGGAAAAACTTTCTTTTAGGAGGCAGACATCTTAAGCAAAACCAAACTCATGTTGAACAGCCATGTGAATGGAAAATGGGATAGAGGGAGACGCAAAAAGGAGAAGGACAGACAAAAACAGAGCAACAACAACAAGGAATAAGATGGATTTGTAGCTACAATGTACATAACCAATGGTCCATCTCTTTGCATGGAACTAAGTTAACATTTTCAGTATAACAACATCATTAGGCTTCAAAATCTCCCTTTAGTAACCAATGGCTGACGTCACTGAGAATACGGCCATGTTTTCTACAGTCTATGGTTCACCTTAATTACGTGAACACACATGTAAAACATATAAGGCAGTCAAAATAGGCAAACCTATCCAAAGGGTTAATGCAGGCAATAAATAAATGTGGGTTAATCTGCATATTAGGCAGGCAGTGACAGGTAAACAAAGGCTGGGAACTGGGGCACATGCATACTAAGAGCAGAAAAGCTGAGACCTGGTGAATACTGTGAAACAATAACAAATGCTGATAAAAATAATAATACAAGGCATTATCATAGTAAATGTGCAGGATGCCATAAAGTCATGGGCAACCTTAGGTATGGCCAAAAACACTCACTGTGTATGCTGCATGTGTAAATGAGCAAGTGTTACTGCCAAGTTTTTTACAGGCTGTTCACTTGCTCCAAAGTAACCAAATTATCAATTGATAGTGCTTTAGTAAAAATCCAAGTTCCTTAACAATAAAAACTCAACAGGTCATCAACATCGTAGCCTGGTAATATACGACTAAATCCATATGTAGATAAGTCTAGAAACTGTCAGTTCAACTTTGATGTCTAAGTTCTGTTCCCAACTGGTTCAGACTGAAATGATTTTCACCATTCAAAATGTTTTTGAGTGGTAAAAATTATGATGTACCGGTAGAGTGATAGGCTAGAAAGCCATTCATGAAAATATAAAATTAAAATAAACCTAACCTGGTGTAGAAACATTTAATAAATGCACCAATTACCCTAATTAATCACTGATTTGTCAGTTTATGTGTCATTTTTAAGGCTGTTCCTAACTTATGAGTCAGAGGCAAACATATAGGTAAGGACTTGCTTCTATTTCTCACAGAATATGTCTGTAAATTTAATGGTAAGCTGTTACGCTGAGGAGAGCGTTTGTAATTTCTCAGGAGCTCCTTGCCTTCCTTAGCAAAGTCCAAGGCAACAAAAAAGATGTGGTCCTTCTGAGGAAGAAGAGAGAAAATAAACTTTTGTCATGATTAAGAGACCTTTACTTTTCATTCACAAAATTAAGAACTTTGACATATATGCTGCATTACTGTGAGACTAATTGTGATTTCAGATGCTTAAAAAAAACAAAAAAACAAACGTCTTCTGATATACCTTGACAGGAAGCTGCTCTGCGCTATGACACCAAGACTCCACGCTACCTCCACATTGCCAGCAACCAGACCAATCGATGGGGTCACAATCGCTCCTACAGGCTGCAGGTGTTCAGCTTCACCGGGGACCACCTCCCAGAGAGCCAGGCAGAAGAGAAGTCCATGTCCTGGGCCAGGTGAGATTGTCACAAAGTTTAAAAAAAACAACCAAACAACAACCTCACTTTCATATACTGTTGGTCAATGATTGAAAAACAAAATACATGTAGCTCATATTACCTCATGAAGGTTCAGTTAACACTCTGGGTTAATCCTTTGAGAAATCAGTCTAGTGAAAATCACAGTCAATACTTGTTTGGACTCAAAAGGGAAAATCAAAAGGGAGGATGGGGATGAGTGTTAAGACACACCAATTTATTGTGCTGTTACCATCAGCCGCAACTGTTAAAGTCAATGCAACAAGCACACATAAACTGATTACCAAGTTAAGTAAGGTTATTTAGTCTTGAACGACAAATGTAGAAGCAGTAATCACGCTTTTGCAGAAATGTAATTTGAAGTAGAGTCTCCTGTAGGCCACAACCTAGGCGGACTAGAGTAGTATCAATCTGAACCAGTCCTAAGGACGGGGAGGATGGGCAACGTCTTATGAGTGGTTTGATGATAAGAGCTGACACCACATATGTCACCTGCCTCCGGATCAGTCAAAAGACAAATGTAAGTGCAGTACAGAGGGCAAACGCTATGCATATTTCTAACACAATACTGTATGTAGAATTTACATACTCAGTACTAAAATGTTGATATTTGGACCCAAACTGATCAACATCACTACTTGATATCTATATACATAGGTTTTCAGCAAAAATGGTCTGGGAAAAGTGGTCTGGGGTTTTAGTGACTCTTTAAAGGGATAGTTCACCCGTTTAAACATGAATCTGTTTTGACATTGGGTCATACATGTAGTAGAAATGTGAAATACATTTCGAAGTTGGTGCCTTCTTGAACGAAAAAAGTCAGAAAGTGTCTTTTTGGCTCGTGGATGAAAGACACCAACTCCAAGAATGCACAGCACCGCAGGCCACTCCCACTATTTACAGACATATTTACTTCAACACATACAGCCATTTCCTCAACTGATTCAGAGATTTCTTCCAGAAGGAATTGGCATCTTGGAAATTCCTGGCAGAAAACAGACGCTATATCTGTGTTCATAGGCAAACAGTGAGAGCACTAATACCACCAATCCGCCCCAGCTTGAGCCGGCCCCGGCTCCTCGTCCTCACAGCTGCCGACAAGCAGGTCTCCTGCCTCGGCTGCTGCAGCAGGAGACCTGCCTGTCGGCAGCAGCCGCCTCGCCACTATATCATGGCTCATAGAGATAGCCACAAACATCCGATTGGAGCACAAGACCTTCAAAATCCCCTTCATCCATATCAGTTTGAAGTTGAAACATATTTTTTTTTAGCCATTGTTGGTTCTTATGGGCTTTCTCCATAGAGCCTGTTAGCATAGCTTCCTAGCAATATGGTTTCAATTCTGTGAGTGAGGTCCCACCCACTGATCTGTGATAGGTCTGTATCTTCAGTGGTCGAAAATATGAGGAACTAGCAATGTAGTTTCACCCTGCTAACCACAGCAGCTGCCTATTACGCAAAGTGACGATTTTTCTTTTTGCAGACAAGAAATACAAAGATTCCCCATCTCAGGGGAGGGCAGGATGCACGACCATTTAAAAATACTACCAGGTTTCTAATGATACAAAGCTTAATGCAAATTGGTGAAGTATCCCTTTAAGTACATCACATTTCATTGCATCTTCACAGTGACTGCCCCTGTTAGGATGTAGCCTTTATGTAGTGACATGGGTGATAAGGGTTTGGGAGGTCAGGGTTTTGAATGGCCACTTGAAACATCAACTCTCATGCAGGACAAGGAACTCGTAAAAATAACTTAATTAAAGCCTTTTCATCAATTGTAGTTATCTTATATCCATAATGATACATTGCTTTAGTAGCCATTTAGGGACACTGAGTGTTATAGTAAATTCCAGAAATGTTTGCATTATACCTTGACTTTTACCTAAAAATTATACAAGCTGGGGCTTCGTTCATTCATCAATTGCAGTGTTCTTGTCTGGTGTCTTGTCTTGTCTGTTAGCATTTCCTACGAGACAAAACAAAGCCAGAGATGGCTCTGCAGGTCATCCATTGACTTCTGTCCATATACTCTTCTGTCTGTCCCCAGATATAAGGTTGCCATCACCAAGCACAAGGATTTAGAACGGACCAGCTCTAGTTTGTACAATCAAAATAACATGTGGACTCCAGCTGTGGACTTCAGCAAGTACATTGAAGACAATGAAAACATTGAAAACGAGGTGTGTAAAAGTTTCATCTGCATGTAGAATAATCAGATAATACTAACATGTTTGTAAACTTGACATCCAATCACTTTGCTGATGTGATTTACATGATGTGTATTAAAATGTGCTTTCAGGATCTGGTTGCCTGGGTGACCACCGGTTTTCTCCACATCCCCCATGCAGAGGACATCCCCAACACAGTCACAGTGGGCAACGGGGGAGGGGTCATTCTGCGGCCACACAACTACTTTGATGAGGATCCTTCCATCCACTCTGCTGATGGAGTGTACATTGAACCAGGCACTGAAGACAGCTGTGAAAACAACAGGATAGCGTGCCTTGCTCAAGAGGCATGCAGTCCTGTTCTGGAACCCTTCACCTACCATGGCTTCGAAGGAGTCATGAAGTTTGAGGATTAGGTCTGATCTATTGAGTGCTGCAAGGTAATAACTGCAGAACACTGAAATGCAGCAATGTGTTTATTCACTTATTCCTCTTTCACGACAAATAAAGAGGGAGTAGATGAAGATATTGTTTCTAAAAACTCTGACACCATCTTTATTAGTGGTGTTGATGTTGAAATACTTGACATCGTGAATAAATTTAAAAACAAAAAGTCCACTGATTGCTCTAATATTGATATGTCTCTAGTTAAAAACATTATTGAATGTATTGTTAAGCCATTGACACATATCTGCAATCAATCCCTCCAAACAGGTATATTTCCCAACAAAATGAAAACAGCAAAAGTCATTCCTATCTACAAAAATGGAGATAGACATACATTTTCCAATTATAGACCAATCTCTCTGCTTTCCCAGTTCTCAAAAATTTTAGAAACAAAGACTCGACAATTTCATTGAAAAACACAACTTACTGAGCGACCATCAATATGGATTTAGAACAAACAGGTCCACTTCCATGGCAGTGATGGAACTGGCAGAAGAGATATCTTCTGCAATTGACAATAAGGAATATAGTGTGGGGGTATTTATAGATTTAAAAAAAAGCATTTGACACAATTGATCATGAATTAACATGAGAGATATTGTGTTAGAGGAACAGCACATGCATGGTTATAAAATTACCTCAACAATAGATATCAGTATGTTCAAATAAAAAATGTAGATTCAGATATGTTGAAAGTTACCTGCGGGGTTCCACAAGGTTCGGTGCTAGGCACCAAACTGTTTATACTGTACATAAATGATATCTGTCGAGTGTCTAAATTGTTAAAATTTGTTTTGTTTGCTGATGACACTAATTTGTATTGCTCCGGGAATAGCTTGGACCAGCTGCTCAAGACAGTGGAAAGAGAAATTAACATTAAGAAAAGAACATTAAGAAATGGTTTGACATCAACAAGTTGTCACTGAATGTAAGTAAAACGAAGTTCATAGTATTTGGTAATAGGCAAATCAAAAAGCAAGTAAAAATGATGATTGATGATGTTGAGATAGAAAGAGTGTATGAGAATAAATTTCTAGGGGTGATAATTGCAATTGCAATATTATGCAAAACTAAAGAATTCCTGAATCAAAACTCACTGTATATATTGTATTGTGCACTCATAGTTCCATACATTACCTACTGTGTGGAGGTATGGGGAAACACATACAAAACCAACATTAATCCCATTTCCATGCTACAGAAAAAAGCCATAAGAATTGTAAATAGATCTGATTATTACGAACCAACTAACGCACTATTTATTAACATACATGCTTTAAAATTCAGCGATCTAGTAGATCTAAAAACTGCCCAGATAATGTACAAGGCATAAAATCATTTGCTTCCCAACAGTATTCAGAGTTTTTTTTAAACTAGAGAGAGCCGATATGAACTAAGGGGAATAGGTGTTTATAAAAAACCAAAGGTAAGGACAAACATAAAGAACAGGTGTATTTCGGTAAAAGGGGTTAACTTGTGGAATACTTATGTCATGGAATTAAAAATGTGTAGTTCACTTTACAGATTTAAATTTTTGTATAAAAAAATGGTGTTTCACAAATATAAAAGGTCGGTTTGATCATTTTTTGTGAGTGTGACTTCTGTTTTGTTTTTTGTTTGTTTCATTTGTTTTGTTTTGGAAGAAATTCTTGGAACAAATTTTGTTCTGATATGTTTTGTTTTTTGTAACCAAACTAGTAGTGTCTTAAATAATGAGATTTGTAATAAGGGTAGGTGTAATAAGATAAAGCTTCAGCCTCCACCTTTTCGGTCAAAATGTTTTAGTTTTTTCTTGTGACCGAAATAAATGATTACTACTACTTATCAAGAACAGTGTGTTGATATTAAAAAGTTTATCGTGCAGTTTGGAACAGAGCATTTGTTTTTATCTCAAAACTGCAACATGGAGTCCATCGAGTAAAGGACATTCCAAAAATATAACAATTGGATATTAACTTAGAAATGTAAAACTGCCATTAAAACCAACAAAAGTCCTTGTTATTCATGGAAAATCTGGATATCAATAGGATAATCATGAGGATTAAAGATCAGCTGTGGCTCAGTTGGTAGAGACTGTTGCCTTTTAACCGGAAGGTCAGGGGTTAAATCCCCAGCTCCTGCATCTACATGTCAGATGTGTACTTGAACAAGTAAACCAAGTTGCTTCTGCTGCTTCGTCATTAATATTCAAAAGGAATGTTAATGAGGGATTTGCATGTGCTGTTTTAAAGAGCAATTGTGTTTGTTAGGTTTTATGGCTAATTTACCATCACCATCATGCTTAAATATTTGCTTACTCTTTGACTTGATTTGAAATTGTATTATTAACATGTAACAAATGATAAAGGTAAACATAAAAAACAGACAGAAAATAAATAATAATTACAAGCAGTGCAAAAGAAAAAATTGTGGTACACTAAGCTATTTAGTTGGCATGTCAAAGCCCTTCAAGGGACAGGTGTTACAAATTAACATCCGCTATTAACAGCATGAAACATGCACTGGATTGCTGTTTTCAGCATGTGTATAAATATCCCCACGCCCTCTCCATTAATACTTATCTATTCAGCTAGTTTCCTATATATAATATATTTCTAAATTAAGACTATAATACACCCACATATGTGAAAATGTGTACACATTTAAGAATATGTGGATTAATTCTTTCTGTTGCCTCGCAGCAAAGAGGTTCCTGGTTCGTATCCCTGTCGCAGAGGATCCTCTCTGTGTGGAGATTACATGTTCTCCCCGTGCATGTGTGGGTTCTCTATGGGTACTCTGGTTCCCTCCCACAGTCTTAAGACATGCTCATTATGTTACAGAGACTCTTCGTTGCCAGTAAGAGTGAATTGAGTGTGACTGGTTGTCTGTTTGTCAGCCCTGTGATTGATTGGTTTACCCTGCCTCTCCAATCCCCAATGATCCCCAATGACAGCTGGGATCGACTCCAGCATTGCAACCCGAAAGATAAAAAGTGGTATAGATAATGGATGGATGGGTGTATTTGTCTTTGCAAAAGCATGTCTGCTTTTACTACCATTTACTCTGATTACTTTGACTTTCAAGTGAAAACTGGTTTCCAAAAAGGCTATTACAGACAAAAAAAGCAAACACGTATATAGACTGGAAACACAACATATCATATCATTCACCATTTGAAGATACATAGATTTTATTGTTGTCACTATTAGTGTCATAGCAACAGTCATTTTCTATTTTCAAATCTAATTTTTTAGCACATTTTTACAAAGAAAAACTTTTCAAACTTGTTAATTCTTCCTCTTATTTATCTTCCAGGTTGGATTTCCTGAAGGGACAGTTTTATGTTCACCTCTTCAATATGAGCCAGCCAATATGAGCCATGCAGTGTCCCTCCAAAGCAACAGGAAGGAGATAATTCAAAACAATCTCTGCCTACTTCTTGCAACTCAACAATAACATGAAAGAAGACTGTTTACTGTGATACATTAGCTTTGTCAACCAAGGTTTTGAAATCTGATAGAAGAGAAGAGAAGAGAAACCCGGACTGGATTAACTCAAAGGGGGGTTTCATAGAACTTCCGCCCCCCTTACACAATGACCACAGGTCTTTACTTACCATTTAAAATTATCCAATTATATGCACAAATGTAAGACTGGTAACTCAACAGAGGTCAATATGTCTTAAATTATGTCCATGTGCTTACTGTAATAAGACAAGGCTAGCTTATGTTAAGAGTACCTTTCATTATGAAGTGTTAAAGGTAATAAAAACATAAAAACCAATAGATTTGGATAACATTTACATTCAATTTCTTAAAATGATCTCAAAGTAAAAGTCACTCTTTGCACCTTGGGCAGTTTGGAAAAGCCCTGTTGATGATATTTCAGCCGTGGTGGAAAATATTAGTGCATTAGAGCGACTTCAATCTGAGTTGTACTATATGATTTCAATTGTACTTCTTTAAGGTGTCAAAGTTACTGTATATTGTGGTTCAGTCCCTGTGTTTGTATAGTTCATGGAAATAATCCTCACCTCAGGTCATATACCAATACCAATTCAGCCATACTACATGCTCGGTGTACGTCATGGATGATAACAGGTATCCAAATAAAGGCCCAGCATATAATTCTATACCATACTACTAAATACTGTTGCTCTGTTAGTCCGCATGAAAAATGTTTTTTTCAAAAAATCTTATTTCAGTTTAATTTGGCTACATATGTCAGTACATTTCCATGTAGTACACTTTGTAAGCTATGTAATTGAGTAAGACTGAATTCTGATTGTGCAGTGTTGGCTCAAATCTAACAGAGTAGTTGTGCACTCACCAGCAATGATGATGATGGCGCTTATTTAATTTGCAACCAGTTGGAGCATTATTTCCGCCATTTGAACATGATTTTCACACTTCAAAATATCTCTCACTTAGTTCACCTTACTCAATTTGATTTTACTACAACCAATAAATATGAAATGACTTTAATGTTTATTTCTTTGTGCAGTATTGCTTGACAAGAGGTTGAAATCCATGCCCCCTCCTCCCAAGGTTTTTGGATAAGGAGATGTCCAAAGTTCGATAGACTGGGACTATAAAGTGTGTCTGTTTTTTCCATGGATAGAGGAGAGCACGTTTTGAATAGTGTGTAGTGAGATTCCTTGTGTGAGCTTTGAGATTTCAGGTTGGAGGTCCATCATGTGTTAAAGCTTAAAGCATGGCCTCGCTTACATGGATGGGTATAATATGCTTCTCAGGAAATCAAAGTTCAGGTTCAGGCATGATGTTTCTGCTTCTGGACCTAGGTTGAAAAAGTTAGCCTCACATCGCTTTTTAACCAGAATTCAAAATGTATTCAAAATGTTTTCTACTGTATACAATATATATGCAACCTTTTGTTAACGAGCTTAAGTGTAACAAGTAAATTTTAAAGAGTGCTCATAACTAGTTTATGCTGACTTCTCGAAGGCTCAGGTAAGACAAAATAAAGATCTGTTTGCACATGCTATACGCACCTATTTGTTGATGTGAACAGTTTTTCTTTGCTGCTGTGCATCAAAACTATATTGATTTGGTTGGAATTACTGTAGGAATACATGTGATATATACACTCATTGAAGGAGAACTCCACTTATTTTAAACCACGAAGTGTTTCCTTTTGTCTCAAACCTCTCAGTTTACTTTATTTACAAGAAGGACACATCAAAATGCCACTGGATCCAAATCAGAGCAACCATTTGAACAAATCTCAGATTTCACTCACTTACTCTTGATTGATGTGACCAGGTGATGTGAACAGCTGATGATTACTAAAAAATGAGTTAGAATATGTGGAGTAACGGTGTGACATAGTATGAGTATAAAAAATAAAACCAGCATGCAGAATATCGCCTTCCTGACAGCACTTTCGCTTAAGCTCTAAAACTAAAACTCAATTTATCTGGAATATAGTAGTAAAAGTCTACTAACATGATTCAGTACTAACATGATTTTTTGAAGATCAGTCGATGTTCCAAGCACATTTTGTAATTGTTCTGTAGTTAACAACAAAAGTGAGATTTAAAGAAGTTTTTCAAAAGTGCCATGTTATAATGCAATTAATTTCACTCACCGATGACTGCCATCAAACTTTCATGTATTTAAAACTCATGTGTTCTGTAGTCAGTCTTAAGACTTAAATTTTATGATTGAGGGTATGGAGAGGTTAAATAAAAGAGCCAAAGGGTTAGAGTTTATATAAATACCACAACTCCTGACTTTTTCACATACCTGATACTTTGGTCTATAGATATAACAAACTTAGTTCGCTGGAGAAAAGGTAAGGTCCACATACATTTCAGCCCAGGTTCGAATCCAGCCTGTGGCTCCTTTCCCGCATGTCATTCCCCACTCTCTCTCTCCCTGATTTCCGACTCTATCCGCTGTCCTATCTCTACATTAAAGGCACAAAAAGCCCAAAAATAAATCTTTAAAAAAATTATATCGAGACCATCATCATCCTCATCATAAAGGTCGTAGGTATTCAGGAAAGAGGTTGGTCTTTAGCTTTTTCTTAAAGGTGCAAAGGGACTCTGCAGATCGAATGGAGTTTGGTAGTTCGTTCCACCACCGGGGGGGGCGACAGAAGAGAAGAGTCTAGTCAGCGTCTTAGGACCCTGTTGTGAAGGTTGGATCAGACGCCTTTCATTGGCAGAGCGTAGTGGGGGGGGGGGAGCGTAGACCTGGATGAGAGAGTTAAAGTAAGGAGGAGCTGTTTTAGTCGCTGTTTTGTAAGCGAGCAGCAGAGTTTTAAATTTGATGCGAGCAGTAACTGGGAGCCAGTGTAAGTAGATGAACAGTGGAGTGACATGTGCTCTTTTAGGAAGGTTGAAGACCAGTGGTGCTGCTGCATTTTGTATCATCTGTAGGGGTTGGATAGTGCATGTAGGAAGACCTGCCAGTAGAGAGTTGCAATTGTCAATGCGTGATATCACAAGAGCCTGTACCAGGAGCTGTGTAGCATGTTCTGACAGGTAAGGTCTGATCTTCCTGGTGTTGTACAGGGCAAATCGACATGGCTGGGCAATTGAGGACACTTGCACCTTAAATGTTAAACCTTAAAGGAGCTCAGCCTTTGAAAGTATATAGCCAACAAAATGTTTGAAATCACATGCCCACTTGTGCAGCAGCCTCAAGCTGATTGTTATATCAGCATTAAAGAGTCTTAATAAGTGATTGGATGCACCTGTGGAGGTAACCGCATGTAGAGAAACTCAAAAAGCATTTGTCACTTTTCACTGAAAAAAGTCATAGATGGATTGAAACGTCTGCATGAATAATTTGTGTCTGTTCGGCTCAACTATGAGTCAAAAAGAACATTCTTCATGTAGCAAAGTCCTCCTCACTACTCCTAACAGTTTTACACCTTAGCAGCTATTTTAAGGGCTAAAAGCTTTGTGAATAACTTTCATCTTTACCAGGATCTAGTCTTAACTTTAAGGGGAAATACGAAAAAGTAAATTTTAGGGTTTAGTGCAAAGAAAAATGTGGTCACAGAGAATAAAAGGAGTACAGGCAGAAGTTTTAATAAAGAAATATTTGTATTGAATCATAGTTTGGCTGAGCCAACAAACTATTCATGCAGACATTTTAGTCCATCTTGGACTTTCTTCACTACAAAGTGAGTCATGCATGTTGAGTCCCTATAAATATGGTACGCTCCACAAGTGCAACTTATCAATGATTACGGGCTCACGTACTGATATTATTTGTAGAGGCTACTGCAAAAATGGGCATGTGTTTTATAACACTTTGTAAGCTATATACTTTAAAAGTATTGTGAACAATTTGTAAAACAGTGATGTTCATTGCAAAAAAAGAGTAAACCGTTTCTGAGTTTAGAGCAGAAATTACACGTTATCGTCACACTCACTAGTTAAAGTATAAAGACAAAGTGTGCTTGGGACTGTAAACTCAGTAGCTAGTTTGGAAGGGTGTTAAATCTATTATATGCATGTAATCGAAAAAGTTAACAATTTCTCTTGCAGGCAAGTGAGACTCTGAATTTGCTAATTGCTTGATTATCTTTTTAAATAGTTCTTAAGCATTTAAGTTTTAGTGAGAAAATGTCTGTGTACACGAATGCTTCTCCACAACAATTGGGACTAAGTATTGATAAAGAATGTGTTTTTAGAAGTCTTCAGGGGATGCGAAAAAGAGAAGCATCTCAGCTTCTTAAAAAATATGCAGAGCCATTGGCTGAACATTTTTCTATTTTTTTATTGAAATCTTTCTAACACCAAAGAGTTCCTTACTTGCCTTTGGAAAGAGTCTGACGTTGTACTTGTGCCCAAGATCAAATACCAAAATCTCTTAAAGACTTTCAGCCAGTAGCCTACTAACCTGTAGTAAAAAATTAGATTTTGGGTGTAACTCAGAAAACATTGAACCCCTTCCAATTTACCTATAGGGCAGGTAGGGATGTTGAGGATGCTTTAGGCACCCTTCTTCATATAGTGCAGAGTCACCTGGATGGTTCAAAGAATTCTGCTCTACAAAAAAAGAAAAGAAAAAGAAACACTTGCAGTCTATGCTAAAATGAGTGCTTGACTGGAGAAACACCAGAATCAACCCCTGTTCTTTTCTGTTATCAGCAGGATGAGATTAATTTATCTTGTTTGTTTATTGAATCAGCCTCATTAGCTTTGAACAAAATGATGCCAAATTAAAACATGATTGACCCAACAATAAGTTAAGGAGTGACCTTTCTTTCAGGTAATGCCTATTGTTATCTGTGTCCTTGTTTTTAAGGTTGCAGGGGCATAATATCATATCATCATAAAGTGAGGCAACAATAAAATGTTTATATGTATAATCATTTATATGTACTTTACTGTATGTATAATATTCAACTAGTGGAACGTTATATACACTTGGAGTTGAAGAAACCTTCCCCATTTTGTGTCCCTCCTACTTTTT